CAATCTGGAAATGTTTTCTAAGGCGATGTATGGGATTTTTTGTAGGTGTTGTTGGTTCTTGGTGCAGCTGGAGGGGTTGGTCTTTCTGCTGTTCAAATCGGCAAGGTTTGCGGGGCTGTTGTTATTGCTGTTGCAAGGTACTTACATTGCTTTTGTCCTCCTTCAGATATCATTTATGACTTCCTTTTGGTTGTTGTTGTTTTGGTGATGCCTTTAGTTTTAAGTATTTTATTTTAATTTTAAGAAGTAGAACCATTTTGGGGTTGTATCCCTGGTTTTGACTATGGCAGGGGAGATGAAAAGGTGCAGTTTTTGAAGTCATTGGGAGTGGACCATGTAGTGGACTCGAGCAAAGAGAGTGTCATTGCAAGTGTCAAGGACTTCCTTAAAGCAAGGAAGCTCAAAGGGGTAGATGTTTTGTATGATCCTGTTGGAGGCAAACTTACTAAAGAGAGCATGAAGTTGTTGAATTGGGGTGCTCAGATCTTGGTTATTGGTTTTGCTAGTGGGGATGTACCTGTCATCCCTGCAAATATTGCTCTTGTCAAGGTACTTGTTTCATTTTCCTAATACTTGGATTTCCTAATATCAATTCTTGCAATTTTTCGCTCCTTATGGTAAACCAAATCACCTATAAAGATGCTATGTGAGATTCAAAATTAATATTGAAAGAAAGGAACAAGATTAGATAACAGTAAAGGAGAGTTGGTTCATGACCAAACAGTTCAGAAGAACTATCCAACTTGTGTTTATTTACAATGTGTCATGGTTTTGCACTTCGAGTGGGTCGAGACATGGCCACGAGTCACAAGATTGACTACATATTCCTCTTTTTCTTTTTCTTTTCTTCTGAGTATGCTACATTCTCTTACTCTAGAATCTCTTTGAACATGAAGAATGTCATTCTAGATATTATCTAGAAAAAACTCGGGTCTAGTTTCAAGGAGTATTGGTGATGTATGAGGACAGAGGGAATGGTGTTGCATGTATTCAAGTAGCACCTGCTTTAAATCCTCAACTGTTTCAAAAATATATAGAAGTATTTGAGAAGCTTGGACGACATTAGTCAGTGCAGAACTACGCTGAATACCAATTTTAATAAAATTAGCAGTTTTACTACTGAAGCACTCCGAATTGGGCTATTTTCCTTTCAGCAGGTCTTTATTCTACCATTGTTTATATGATTGCACAATACAAATTATTCATGATGATATTATCAAGTTTTTAAATGTCCTCTTCTTTTTTTCTTTTTTCTTTTTTCTTTTTTTTTCCCAGAACTGGACTGTGCATGGACTTTATTGGGGCAGCTATAAAATACATCGACCTGTTGTGCTTGAAGATTCAATCCGGGAGCTGCTTTCCTGGGTGGCAAAGGGCTGGATTACCATCCACATTTCTCACACTTACAGTTTATCAGAGGTCCAGAACTCCCTCTCTCTCTCTCTAATTAACTGAGCAAAATTTTAGCTTGAAGATGGTTTACCATTATGATTCACTGAACTAAATTAAACATTCTGAGCTCAATTCTCCTACAAATTGAGCTGGTAAAGGCATACCAAAGTTCCTTATGGTTAAGCAGCTTTCCAAGAACCAAGCAAATCCTATACGCATGATCATGTCCTATGTAATCAATGCCAAAACTCTAATAGATTTACATTCCAAATTTCTACTGCTGTACATAGGTCACTCATGGTCATGTAACAGCATTTCCTGAATGAAGGACTCGGTTTGTGATAATATCTTCATTTGGTCCAGCATATGAATCTACCAACAAGAAGTCATCTACCAATCCAAGCATGGATGGACAGATCATTTGATGACATCTGTCTAACCCAACAGTGAGTTGGTAGTCTAGCAGGTGTTAGATTCATGCATTGTCAGGTTCAATTCACAACTTGTTTGACTTCTTTTCCTGTTTGGGATCTGATGAAAAGAAATTAATCAACCTCTGAAGCACCAAGCACAACTATTTCACTGCAATAAGTTCTTTTTTCCTTTTATTTGGGTAAATCATAAATGATAAAAACAAGGAGTTCAAGCTTATCATTCCACCTTGCATTGAAAATTCGGCAAGTTTATTGGTAGACTTGGTATGTGCATTATATGGACAGACGTTTTGGTTTCTTGTCTTCATAATTCAGTGACAATGTTGGTGTTGTGCCTTTGACAGGCCAGTCTCGCGTTTGCTGCTATTAAAGATAGGAAGGCAATTGGGAAGGTGATGATTGCTATTGATGATGAAAGAAGTGTAAAATCTAAGCTTTAAGTCAATCAGGACTCAGATGGGATGGAATGCAGGATATATTCTTTTTTGCATACTCTCCTTTTAAGTTACCCTTCAAGCAATTTTCTCATTTCTGTTTGATACAATTGCTAGCAACCACGAGGATGTTACTTGTTGTCAATAAGGTAATTATCTTGTAGTAGTTGTTGACAAATGCCAAATAAGAGAACTATTATACCGAAAGAAAAATAAAATAAAAATTGCAGATGAATATTGGTGAAATTGCATAAGCTTTGTTCCTGCATATTCACTATGTCCAGTATTGTGTGTTTGATAATGTGATGTGAGATAATTTTTTAAAAGTATTTTTTATTTGAAAATATTTTAAAATGATTTATATAATATTTTTTATTTATAGTACTAGCATATAATCACTAGAAAATATTTAAAAAATATTAAAATTTAATGTTTTTTCATATCAAACACTTTTAAAACGTATGAAGTTTTAAACTCATAAAGTGTAAAGACCGTCCATCTTTTTTGACGCCGTCCGCTGGAAATAATCACAACTGGATCGATCCTATTGCAGTTCCCTGTACTGCTTGCTGTACCTGTGGGGCCGTCACAATGCTATTGTGAATGGATAATTGTTTCTTGTCTTACAAAAAACGATAAAAGGTTGAAGTTTCGTAAAGGGTATATATTTCCTTTTTCTTTGGTTGTTACAAGGCACTGGCAACCATGTGATCACCATTACTTTTTGCTTGAGAAACACAAGTAGGAATGCAATGACAAAAAATCTGTAAAGCCTAAGTTCGGAAAATTAAACGAAGTAATTGCTAGGATATGAAAAAACCTGAATAATTTTTACCATGTTATTTTTTTGTAAAATCTTAATAGTTTATTAGATTTCATGTTGAATTCATCAAATAACTTCCCAATTATACAACAAAGTAAGAAAAATTAATTGGAAACACCAGGCATGGAAACCAAAATTGATAATGGAGAACACTGCAAGTGGTTGTTGGATTGTATTACAATTGTAAGGTCCCTCCATGGTACTCATATCTTTCGAAGGTCTTATAGAATTGTACTCCCATGAAATATTCTTTCTTTTCTTATATAAATAAACCCCATGCTGTTGCGTGGGTTGTTTCTGTGCTACTGTTTTTTCTTTTCCTTTAGTTTTAGTATTGGTTTTGCTGTTCCCCTTTCGTAGCAAACATCCTGTCTTGTGTCTTCTACGGATTCCTCAAACGTTGAAAGGGCTCAAGATCGAAGAAGGATACAACAAGGTGTGGCTTCTAGCTTCCTCTATAGCATCGTGTCAGACAATCTATCAAGACTAAGTGTCAAGACCCTCGTCAGATTCAAGTCGGTCTGCAAGTTATAATAATGCGTGATTCCCAACCCTGGTTTCCAAGCCTTGCATCACAATAGATCGTGCAGTAATCATTGATTCCTTCGATTTATGAATTTGATTTTCAGCTCCATTCAAATCCCATAGACAGATCATATTTTTATAAATTTGTTTCAGTGGATACAGAGGGGGAATAAGCACGATTTTATTGATCTTAAGGTGCATGCCCCTATTAAACTCATATTGCCAGGTTGCTTTGCTTTGCTTTGCTTAGCTACAGAAACACAAATTCATGTGTGTAATCCTAGCACTCATCAGCTTTTTGAATTGCCAGAATGTGGAAGTAAAATAGCAGGATTCGGGACAGGAAAGCTAGACTCGTAAGAGTCCAGTTGGTTCTCCTTCTCCGATATCTACAACACACCCAAAAAACAGAATAGAATGCTCGGTTGGGAAACAGGACATTCATGGATGATTTCCAACATCCAGTGGAAAGGTTTAGTCCTCCGGCCTTCGCAAATGAAGCTACTTACTGGAAGATTGACCGCAGGAGCTTCCGCAGGAGGCATAACGTTTTTATTTTCGCGTTTAATATTGGAAACGAAATGTTTGAAACCATTACTCATCCTGCATTTTGAAGACTTATTGCTTATTCTGATTGGACACCGCATGTTCGAAATTCAACTCCTCCATGTGGGAATTTGTGCATGGTAGGGACTTGAGATTATCTCAGGTGGCAGTTTGGGAACTGAAGGATCCTAGGAATTGCATATGGCAAGGCAAAAACAAAAAAAAAAGAAGAACTGAAGGATCCTAGGAATTGCATATGGCAAGGCAAAAACAAAAAAAAGGAGCATGATCCACATAAGGGCAAGTAATCTTTTGAAAAGGATACAGAAATCATATTCTATTCTTTTACTGATCTTCTCTTCTACTCAGCAGTGATGAAGAAAATATTTAAGGAAAAGATGCGAGCTTACCCCTTATTGGTGAATTCTTGCTTGTTTAAAGGGAAAATAAGCCACCTATAGGCAATTAGTTTACAGGGCTTTCTCTTAATCCCTTGCCCTTCTCTTTTCTGTAGAAAATACCAGGGCTTTTTGCAGGTCTTTCTTGTTTCTTTCAAGTTTCGTGTGAGTTGGCTTTATCTTCAAAGAAGAATTAACAAAGAAGCATGTCAAATGGCTAACTTTAGAATCAAGCAAGCATTATAAGTTGATAGAATATCAACATATAAATAAAGAAGAAAGCCGTCATTTAATTGAACAAAACAGTGATTATAGACAAGGGCTTAGAATACAAGAATCATCTAAAAAGACCCATCAACAAAATTGGGAAAACTTAATGGCCATCAACTTTGCTAAAAGTATAATGGCCCCAAAGAACAGAGGTTTTCTCTGCTTCTTTTGATTGTTCTTACTGGTTCCCCTTACCCACTACTTCCGCTGAAGCAATTTGTGCCTTTGACCTCTTACACATCTTTCTTGCTTTCAATAATGCCCTCCTCTGGTTAAATGGGTGCTCTTTTTTCTCCAAATCTTTCACTGTTCTCGCTTCCGACAGGTCTGCGAAGGACTTGCATTTCCCATCATAGGACGTTGCCAATCCTCTTCTCTGGGTTGGTAGAGAGTCTAGCATCGAACCAAAAGAACCATACCCTCCTTCTCTGTTGAGATTCCTCTCCTTAGACATGACTTCCTCGTGGCCTTGTTCAGTGCCATTGTTTGGAACAACCATAGAATTACTGTCGGAAGAGATTTTGGACGACTTCATGTCTAAATCACCCATTATCAGCAAATACAAAGTAAACAGCAGCACACCAATTTTCTCTTTCACACTAGTCCTATTTATAGAGTTCCAAACTCAAATTTCCTAAAAAGTTCAGGTCTTTCCACAAATAGCACGGCAACTGGGAACCAACATCAAATCACTTTCCTCAAGTAGCACGGAAACTTAAAACTATATCATGATGTCTCAGTCAGCATAAGATAATGAATGCAAATGCATACATAATTGAATCAATGAGCATCAGACAACATTGGAACTGATGCCGGAAATCCATCAACTTCTATGCGGTCAAATTAGAAATAGCATCGGGATCGAATGACTAGAGCTTTTATATTTTGGTTGTCAATGATTTTAATTGGAAACTACTCAAAGTCTGCAGCTTTGAAAAACCAACCATTATTTGATCGAACAGATTAAGTTTAGTTGCATGTGCACACTAATCATTTTGCGATGATCATGTTAAAGGAACTCTATTGTATTGTGCTTACAAGAACCGTGCCTGACAGACACAAGAAGCATGAATCGCATAAAGCATCTAAAATCAAGCACGTATGACAACGAACCCAACCTGGCAGTTATCTGCCAGCGGTAAATTATTATAGAGGAAGGCATCAATATTAACCACACACAGATTAATTAGGCGACATTCTTGCATCATTATATAAGCTTTCAGATAATATCTTGCAGCGTCTTGATGATGGCTGATCAGCATGGTAGAATGATGAGCAGAAATTACAATAGGCTGAACACATTTTTTGTGTTTTCGTCGCATATAACGTAGAAAATCTCGCATGCTTTGAGTAGCTCTTTCCCAATCTATGATATCATATGAAACCCACGAATGAATAACAAGATGAAAACGCAATCATATAAGGTTTTCATGATGGTACCCAAGAAAAGAAATCATGGATGTGAGGAAAAAAGAAATAGAAAACTATGAAGAGTGAATTGGAGGGGTGAATGCGTAGGGGAACAGGTCGAAAGGCATGATGAGCGTCTTCTAGGCCTAGGACTTCCGAGCTGAGAGAGACTGAAGTTCCTCCTCCTTATCACCAGGTAGCTTATCAGAAACCAATCTCTGGGAGAGATTAATAATCTCCATAGCTTCAGAATATCTTTGCAACGATTGCAATGCCTTGCACATCTATGAACCCTACCAAGAGACAGCAAACTATCAGAAAGTAAAAGAATGTACAGGTGAATTTATTCAACATGAGTTGAATTCCTTAATCTAAAACAAACTGTCAAGTGCAAATTCAATAAGTTTCAAGAAAGTGTACAAATAAAAAAAATAAAGTATTGATGAATAAAAATAAAGGGAAAAAAAAAATACAAACATCTGAATAAGGTCAGGGGAGGAACTCTGATTTCTCGCTGTAACCTCCAAAAGGAAAGTCAATGGGAGGTCAGGTCCAAGTGGCAACAACTTGCTAGTAAATTAAATAACTAACAGATATTGCACATCATCAAATTCAATCGGTGTTTAAATACTAATTTAGTCGAAAATAAATTTATTAATAGAATTATTGACGGGATTATTTCATCGGAAAAGCTTGATGAATTTGGGTTGTTTAAACATGTATAATCGGTGGTTTTAATTTCTTTTAGCCAATTCTTTAATAATATAATCATCATTAAATTTACAAATATAAATATTATGACACAAAAAATATAATTGTATTAATTTTTTTTATAAATTTATTGGTGATTATGATATATTACTAATAAAATAAACTACTGGTAAGCCAATTAATGATAAGCATGTTAATGACATAATTAAATTATTGAAGAATTTAACAATGTATTAATTTTTTTCTGTAAGTTTATCGGTAATTATGATATATTATTGATAAAACAAACTATTGATAAGTCAATCGGTAATATGCATGTTATTGACATAATTAAATTATTGGAGAATTTAACAATGACTAGTCTTATAATTTTTTTTCCAACTCTTTAAAGATTAACCATATATACTAGTAAGGTTTTCAATAACTACTTGAGAATATTCATTTTATCTCCTAGTTGGTTATCTCAACCCTAAGTTGGACTATCTCAGCACTAAGTCAAATCATCTCATCTTAATCTATTCTTGTATAATTGTCTGGATGACTTTAGATTGTTGGCTCGATCCTAATTATGGGATTCCTATGGTTGATACATCACAATCCACCTGCATATTCTCGACCATAGTATTGGAGATATTATAAACTTGATTTCTATCGGGTCCATCAATAAATCCAATCTCCAACCACAAATCTGAATTGAGTTTCAAATGAGTTAAATGATCATTCTTGTATCTCTTGTGTAATTAGATATTATATGTTTCTTGAAAAAAATTAGATAGCAAATAAAAAAATAACTTAATTATTTTTATGAAATCTAACTTACCATGAACTTATGGACTTGACTAGTCACAGACTGCTGCATCTCTTTTTGATAGCCCTTATTCCACGCGTGAGTTTCAACAAAAAGCTCCATCAATATTAGATTGCGCTCAAACACCATAACATACAAAAGAAAGCTATTGTTAGTTTAATATTTTTATATAATACAATAGTTTTTTTTTAAAATTATCCTATAAAATAAAATTTTATCATCTATTTTGCATGCAAAATAAACAAAATGGATCCACCAATATGCATGGTAATGGAACCATAAATCTTTTTAATCTAGTTCTTCAAATCAGATTGTAACTACCATAAGAAATATTAACATCACTTGATGGATATGAGTGTCTCAGATACTCTGAGACATGCAAAGGTTTGAAATCCATCTACATAGCTACATGTTTTTAGCCTAAAAGACCTTTATCTTTTGCATATTTCTTTAATATTTTCCAGGCCTTTTACCAAAAATCATGTAACCTAATTCGAAGAAAAGAAAAAAAAGTGGTTAAAATAATAAAAAATAAAATTTTAATGTTTGTTTTTTAAATATCACAATTTGAACTCAAATGTACCTAATAACGTTATGATTCTTCTACACTTTTCTAGTAATATTGTGGCTAACCTACTCACAATAAATTTTTTTCTTACATGTCAATTTCATAAAACAACTAATTTATTAATTATAAAAAACTAACTGAATTAGATATTAATTTCTTTTATATATATATAATATTGTGGCTAACCTACTCACAATAAAATTTTTTCTTACATGTAATTTCATAAAATAATTAATTTATTAATTATAAAAACCTAACTGAATTAGATATTAATTTCTTTTTTTATATATGTACTAGCTTTGAATTTCCTAAACCAAACATCAATTACAGGTTTTTGTTTAAGATTTTTGGAAACTTGAGTCCACTGAAACAAAGACATTTTCATTAATGATGTTATCGTGTGAATAGCTTCTACATTTGTAAACCTAAAATTCTATTTGTTCATGGAAATAATTAATTATGCAAAAATTATCCATTGTTGTTTATTTTTTTATCATGCAAAAAAGGAAAACAAACCTACATGTTATGGTCAAGCTTCCTCTAAGAAATATATTTCTTAATGTACACATCCAGTTTAGAAAGGAAACCCCCTTTACGAGTTGCACTTGTATTCGAAGAGTTTGCATCGAGTGAGAGTGTCTCTGTTTGAGATGTCTGGTCATGATTGACACCTAATAACTCATGCTCATCATAAGCATTGCTAGAAAAATTAGTAGCGCTCCTATCTGTATTACTCTTTAATGACATTCTCTTCATCATTTAAATAAATTTGATAAAAAAATAATAACATTATCATGATATCTTATTTTAAAAAACATTGACAGCACCTCTGTATGAGAGACCATTTAAAATTTTAAAACCTACAAATACATATCAATAAATGAAGCCACAAACTAATTGATTTTATTTATAAATAATTTTTAATTTATTTATTTTGAAATCTATGTTGATAATTACAAGTTGCAAATAAAAATTAAAAAAGCATTCCAAAAATGTTTTTTTTCCTATGTAACCTAAATATTTAAATTACTAAAATTAAACAAGAACCTATAAAACTCAATTAATATGTTAACATCCTAATATGTTTTACAACTAAACCATCAAGACAATAGGAACCTCAAAATATAGTTTCATTTAACCTAAACCTATAAACTCTCACAAATAAATTTCATAACCTCGTATTAATAATAATAACTTCACTAATTTCATAACTAATACATCAAACTCTCCTCTCAAATTGTTAAAATCAATTTAAAAAAAAAACTACTATATGAACCTTAAATAACAAAAAATGAATGAAATTAACAAAACAATCAGCTTCTCTCTATAAAAGACTATCTAAAATTTTAAAACCTGCAAAAACACATTAATAAATGAAGCTATAAAGTAATTGATTTTATTTATAACTAATTTTTAATCTATTTACTTTGAAATCTATGTTGATAATTGTAAGTTGCGAATCAAAATAAATAAAGAAACATTCCAAATGTCACTCGAGGGGCGATATCGGACACTAGCACGCTTAATATGAGAGCTTCCTAAGAGATATGTTGTTGGAAGGGAAAGAGTTTTGGGTTTAATCATAAAATTATGATTAAAATTCACAAATCATCACCTAGTATTATGGTTATTAGAAAAGCTATAGTCTCCGAGAGTCTGAGTAAGAGACTGATCATACAAAGAAAAGACACATCACCCCCAGTATATCCTATCTAAGATAAGCTACATTATTCTTTGATTGATTTTCTAGATCAAGTTCATATCCATTGGTCTTTTTCTAAGATCTAAGACACATCTCTTTTCGTGAGAGAGTCTCTACCTCATTGGTTTTAATTCTAAGAGTTTTAATGTTTAAATTTTAGCATCATATTTATTTTATACTTTCTATCATTAATACTTGAGGATGTGCTTTATTGTGTAGTTTTACTTCTCCAAATATTAAAGTCTACATCTAAATCCTAATATAAAATGAACAAAATAATTAGTAAAGAATTTTTGATATTTTGGTAAAATCCTAATGGATAATCATAAACTATTTATGATGTCTATTTTT